TCTGCGTTACATTCACACCACACATTGCCCTCAGATATGACATCTCCACTGCCTCCAGCCTTCTCCTCGTCGCAAAATTCATCACCCATGCTTCACACCCATACAAGTGTGTTGGTACAACTATACTCTCATACATTCACCTTTTTGCTTCCATGGACTTAGTTCTTTATCTCCACAGACTCCTAAGTGCACCACTCACCCTCTTCCCCTCATCAATTCTCTGATTCACCTCATCCTTCATAGACCCATCTGCTGACACGTCCACTCCTAAATATCTGAATACATTCACCTCCTCCATACTCTCTCCCTCCAATCTGATATCCAGTCTTTCATCACCTAATCTTATCCTCATAACCTTACTCTTTCCTATATTAACTTCTAATTTTCTTTTACATACCCTACCAAATTCATCCATCAACCTCTGCAACTTCTCTTCAGAATCTCCCAAAAGCACCATGTCATCAGCAAAGAGCAACTGTGACAACTCCCACTTTGTTTGATTCTTTATCTTTTAACTCCACACCTCTTGCCAAGACCCTCGCATTTACTTCTCTTACAACCCCATCTATAAATATATTGAACCACCACGGTGACATCACACATCCTTGTCTAAGGCCTACTTTTACTGTGGAAAAAATCTCCCTCTCTCCTACATACTTTAACCTGAGCCTCACTATCCTCGTAAAAACTCTTCACTGCTTTCAGTAACCTACCTTCTATACCATACACCTGCAACATCTGCCACATTGCCCCCTATCCACCCTGTCATATGCCTTTTCTAAATCCATTAATGTCACAAAAACCTCTTTACCCTTATCTAAATACTGTTCACCAATATGTTTCACTGTAAACACTTGTTCTACACACCCCCTACCTTTCCTAAAGCCTCCTTGTTCATCTGCTATTCTACTGTCTTACTCTTTAATTCTTTCAATAATAACCCTACCATACACTTTACCAAGTATACTCAACAGACTTATTCCCCTATAATTTTTGCACTTTTATCCCCTTTGTCTTTATACAAAGAAACTATGGATGCTCTCTGCCAATCCCTAGGTATCTTACCCTCTTCCATACATTTATTAAATAATAGCACCAACCACCCCGAAACTATATCCCCACCTGCTTTTAACATTTCTATCTTTATCCCATCAATCCCAGCTGCCTTACCCCCTCTCATTCTACCCACTGCCTCACGAACTTCCCCCACACTCACAACTGGCTCTTCCTCACTTCTACAAGATGTTATTTCTCCTTGCCCTATACACGAAACCACAGCTTCCCTATCTTCATCAACATTTAACAGTTCCTCAAAATATTCCCTCCATCTTCCCGATACCTCTAACTTTTCATTTAATAACTCTCCACTCCTATTTTTAACTGTCAAATCCATTTGTTCCCTAGGCTTCCTCAATTTACTAATCTCACTCCAATTTTTTTTTTTTTTTTTTTTTTTTTTTTACTTTCAACAAAATTTGTTAATAACATCTCACCCACTCTCTCATTTGCTCTCTTTTTACATTGCTTCACCACTCTCTTAACCTCTCTTTCTCTCCATATACTCCTCCCTCCTTGTATTACTTCTACTTTGTAAAAACTTCTCATATGCTAACTTTTTCTCCCTTACTACTCTCTTCACATCATTCCATCAATCGCTCTTCTTCCCTCCCACACCCACTTTCCTGTAACCACAAACTTCTGCTGAACACTAACACTACATTCTTAAACCAACCCCATACATCTTAGACCCCATTGCCTATACTCTCACTAGCCCATCTATCCTCCAATAGTTGTTTATATCTTACCCTAACTGCCTCCTCTTTTAGTTTATACACCTTCACCTCTCTCTTACTTGCTGCTTCTATTTTTCCTTGTATCCCATCTACCTTTTACTCTCACTGTAGCTACAACTAGAAAGTCATCTGATATATCTGTGATCCCTCTATAAACATGTACATCCTGAAGTCTACTCAACAGTCTTTTATCTACCAATACATAGTCCAACAAACTACTGTCATTACGCCCTACATCATATCTTGTATACTTATTTATTCTCTTTTTCTTGAAATATGTATTACTTATAACTAAACCCCTTTCTATGCAAAGTTCAATCAAAGGGCTCCCATTATTATTTACACCTTGCACCCCAAACTTACCTACCACATCCTCTCTAAATGTTTCTCCTACTTTAGCATTTAGATCCCCTACCACAATTACTCTCTCACTTGGTTCAAAGGTTCTTATAAATTTGCTTAACATCTCCCAAAATCTCTCTCTCTCCTCTACACTCCTCTCTTCTCCGAGTGCATACACGCTTATGACCCACTATTCACTTCCGACCCTTGTTTTAATCCACATAATCCTTGAATTTACACATTTACATTCCCTCTTCTCCTTCCATAACTGGTCCTTCAACATTACTACCCCTTCCTTAGCTCTAACTCTCTCAGCTACTCCTGACTTAATCCCATTTATTTCTCCCCACTGAAACTCGCCTACCCCCTTCAGCTTTGTTTCACTTAGGGTCAGGACATCCAACTTCTTTTCATTCGTAACATCAGCAATCATCTCTCTTATCATCCACACTACATCCACGCATATTCATGCATCCCAGTTTTATAAAGTTTTTCTTCTAATTTTTAGTAAATGTGTACAGGAGAAGGGGTTACAAGCCCATTGCTCCCGGCATTTTAGTTGCCTCATACGACACGCATGGCTTACGAAGGAAAGACTATTCCACTTCCCCATGGACAATAGAGGAAAAAAAAACAAGAACAAGAGCTATTAAGAAAACGAAGAAAAACCCTAGATGTGTGTACGTGTGTGTACTCACCTATTTGTGGTTGCAGGGGTCGAGTCACAGCTCCTGGCCCTGCCTCTTCGCTGATTGCTACTAGGTCCTCTCCCTTCCTGCCCCATGAGCTCTATCATACCTCGCCTTAAAACTATGTATGGTTCCCGCCTCCACTACGTCACTTTCTAGGCTATTCCAAAGCCTGACTACTCTATGACTGAAGAAATACTTCCTAACATCCCTTTGATTCATCTGAGTCTTCAACTTCCAATTGTGACCTCTTGTGTCTGTGTCCCTTCTCTGGAACATCCCGTCTTTGTCCACCTTGTCTATTCCACGCAGTATTTTATATGTCGTTATAATGTCTCCCCTGACCCTCCTGTCCTCCATGTCGTCAGGCCGATTTCCCTCAACCTTTCTTCGTAGGGCAAACCCCGACTCTGGACTAGTCTTGTTGCAAACCTTTGCACTTTCTCTAATTTCTTGACGTGCTTGACTAGTGTGGATTCCAAACTGGTGCTGCATACTCCAGTATGGGCCTGACATAAATGGTATACAGAGTCTTAAACGAATCCTTACTGAGGTATCGGAACGCTATCCGTAGTTTGCCAGGCGCCCGTATGCTGGCAGCAGTTATCTGATTGATGTGCGCCTCAGAAGATATGCTCGGGGTTATACTCACCCCCAGATCTTTTCCTTGAGCGAGGTTGCAGTCTTTGCCATCTAAACTATATTGTGTCTGCAGTCTTCTTTGCCCTTTCCCCAATCTTCATGAACTTTGCATTTGGCAGGGTTAAATTCAAGGAGCCCGTTGCTGGACCAGGCTTGTAGCCTGTCCAGGTCTCTTTGTATCCTGCCTGATCCTCATCCGATTTGATTCTTCTCATTATCTTCGCATCATCTGCAAACAAGGACACTTCTGAGTCTATCCCTTCCGTTATGTCGTTCACATATACCAAGAACAGCACAGGTCCTAGGACTGACCCCTGTGGAACCCCGCTTGTCACAGGCGCCCACTTTGACACCTCGTCGCGTACCATGATCGTTGTTGCCTCCCTGTCAGGTATTCTCTGATCCATTACAGTGCCTTTCCTGTTATGTGTGCCTGATCCTCTAGCTTTTGCAGTAACCTCTTGTGAGGAACTGTGTCGAAGGCCTTCTTGCAGTCCAAAAATATGCAGTCGATCCACTCCTCTCTCTCTTGTCTTACTTCTGTCACCTTGCCCATAAACTCTAGTAGGTTTGTGACACAGGATTTTCCTTCCCTGAAACCGTGCTGGTTGTCAATTATACACTTGTTTCTTTCCAGGTGCTCCACCATTTCTCTCCTGATGATCTTCTCCATGACCTTGCATACTATACACGTTAGTGATACAGATCTGTAGTTTAGTGCCTCATGTCTGTCTCCCTTTTTAAAAATTGGGACTACATTTGCCATATATATATATATATATATATATATATATATATATATATATATATATAATATAATATATATATATATAATATATATATATAATCTATATATATACATGTGCTTGTCTGTGTAGTGTGACCTAAGTCTAGGTAGAAGTAGCAAGATATACCTGTTATCCATCATGTTTATGAGACAGAAATGAGACACCAGCAATCCTACCATCATGTAAAACAGTTACAGGTTTCTGTTTTACAGTCACCTGGCAGGACGGTAGTACCTCGCTGGGTGGTTGCCGTCTACCCACCTACTACCTATAAGATAGGAAGATACCATTCATAAGAACAAATAAAAATATACTCTGACTACATAGATACATAAAATGGTCTACAAGACTTAAGAAATCGTAATGACACGATTGCAAATAAACCATACCCCCGGCCGGGATTGAACCCGCGGTCATAGAGTCTCAAAACTCCAGCCCGTCGCGCGTCTAGCGCGACAGGCTGGAGTTTTGAGACTCTATGACCGCGGGTTCAATCCCGGCCGGGGGTATGGTTTATGGTCTACAATATTGTTTCTGCACTTCTACATATCATAGCTTGATGTAATTTTTTTTATAAACATAAGTGGTTGAAGGAAACTTGTTAACAAATACTCAGCATTTTTTAGGGCTGGTTTCATATTTTTATTGAATACAATTCCATACAATAAGCTCCACAAGTTTATTGGCCACCTTTAATTTGATTAACTAATTCTTAATAATCCACTTATTTTTGTCTGGTTAGAGTGAAATTTATTAAGGAAGAACTCTTAGTTAACCATTCTAAGTTCATCATGTATGCTGAAAGTCAAAGCCATTTCTTTCTACTTAAGTAAGCAATCCAAAAATCCAAACCATAACTTAGTTGAAATAAAATTAACCATAATAAATTGTCTTTCCATTTGCTTAAATATGTTATGTTTCATAGCACCAAGTGCAATGATGGATGTAAATAAAACAGTGTTTGATAGTGAAAATAAATTTAGGAGATAAATTTTTCACTGCTTAACAAAACTTGTCAAGTCAAAGCATTGTAAATTTTATCTTCTACCAAGTAATTTTACATACATCATGTATTTATCCTTAAAACCTAATACTATTAATTTTGTTTACTCTAAAGGTTTTGTTTTTATATATTGAACAAAATATGGTTAAGTCATCTATTATAGGAACTAAGTGAAATTGTAACATTCCTCAACTGTAAAAAATTTTATCTTTAAAAAAAATAACCTTCAGATAATGGTTTCACTTAAATTCCTTTATAAGTTTATTTGTTTCACAAAGTTCTATAATGGAGTAACACAATAATCCCTTCTCTCTGAATCATCACATAATTCATTTATATACTCTTGTATCAATTTTGTTACTGATGAAGCCATATGTAACCCTAACTTACTTTCCCAGTTTACTGGCCATGCTAGTTCATTCCTCACCAACAGATCCCCTAAACTGCCACTCCAAGGAGTCGAAACCAATGTGTACATTTCATCTCTTATATATGTTAATTGGTCAAGGTCAAAGCACACACACACACTATGAAGAGCTGCTTCTGCAACAGCAAGTACAGCACCAGATTCTTTTCCAGGAATTACTTTCACTGGAAGGTAAACCTGAGACACCAATGGTGGTATGTCTAAAAATTCTTGCTGAAGCTTATACAATTTCTTCAATGGTACTCTTCCATATTTTCCATGGTCCATGTAGTGCACTGTAGCCTCATGTGATGTTAGTGCTATCACTTGAGCACGCTGACAGCTTTCATGGAGGAATGCAACACACAATTCACCTACTTGAGGGGAATCCAATAACTCCATCTCTTCACCAAGCTCCTCTAAACTACTCCTAACAAACTCTGCTAAGTCTATGTCCTCTTCCTTCTGAATCCATAAGCAAAAGGGAATTTCTTCTACATGAACTAACAATGAGCGATATGGCCTTACTTTAAGTTCTGACATATCTATTGTTTCGCTTTCTTCAACCTCTTCTATTGCATGTAAATGTGATTTAACTGTATGTCTCTTGTATGATGTAAATGCCTCTATTTTTAACTCACTTGGCCTCAACATAAAATCAGAATAATTTCCATAAACAACTTTGTTTATTTTTTCTTTCACACACAAATTTTCCTTGGAGTTAAATGAAGCAGGAGCAACTTTTATGTTACTTAATGTTGTTTCATTTGCTAAATTCCTCTCCCTTTGTTTGTTTACTACCATGAAAATGGGAGAGTAATCAGGCACCTCAGAAGAACCCTCAGATAAAGGCTCTCCCCCCTCGGTCTGTATTTGCCTACATAGTGCTCCTCTATTTTTGTCTCTTTCATTAGGTTCTATGTTTATATTACATAATTCTTCATGAGAATTATGCATATTGTATGTTTGCTCATTTTCAATATTAAGACACTTTTGTTTGCTCTTCACTTCGTGAAACTGAGTATCCTCACCAGTGAATGATGCTTTGTCACACAAAACTGTCTGCTTTAGTGAACATTTACCCAACTCATTTCCTTTGCAATTTGAGGATTTTTCTCTTGGTGCCTGTGTCCTCTTTAACATAGATGCTTCTCTGCTGGACACTAAATATTGGGGATCTTTGTAGCCATCTTCACTACAATCCTGTTCGCTGCAAACCTGACACCCATGCACTGGCTCTTGGCAAATTTCCAAGCTCTCTCCATTAAATGCTTTAGTAGGGTTTGAAATCAACTCAAGAACATCCAAGTCTTTAAAAATATTCTGGTCATCACATTTCAATGTTAAAGTATTCATGTCTTCAGTATCACAAAATGCCACACTCAGTACCTGTAATAGTTAAAACATCAACACTGAATCCAATCATTAATAAAAAATGTACATAAAATTTCAAATTCATTAGATGATTTCTAATTTTATTGCATTGTATAGTCTTCTACTGCCTTTAATAACTACACAATAACTGAAAAAATTGACTTGCTATTAAAAGATTTAACACTGCTTATACAGATGGCTCCTCCAGCCAGATTCAAAAGAAATTATGCTGCCAAGAAGTCCCATGAATTTTAAAAACATACAGCAGACTATTGGATTATACATGATCTGCTGAAACATTTTCACTATAACATGGTTGTAAAACTGTGGCACATTTTTGGTGAACACACTGTAAAACATTTATTTACACGTAGTAGTAGTACATGTAGGGGAAAATGTGGAATGTGCTGTGTTACTTTCCCTCCTTCTCACAGTGAGCCTCAGAGCGAGTTCATTGTTTTACGGTCTACTGGGTGAAGAAGGCAGAGAGAATTTGTGAGCAACGGAGGTAAGAGTGGCCCACAGACACATGCAGTTGTTGCCATCCTGCATTCCCTTCACCTGTTGTAAATCCTATCTAGGCTGGAATATTGCTGCACACTAACAGCACCTTTCAAGGCAGGTGAAATTGCTGACCTAGAAAATGTACAGAGAACCTTCACAGCGCGCATAACGGAGATAAAACACCTCAATTACTGGGAGTGCTTGAGGTTCCTGAACCTGTATTCCCTGTAACGCAGGCGGGAGAGATACATGATTATATACACCTGGAAAATCCTAGAGGTGGCCCGGTGGCCTGGTGGCTAAAGCTCCCGCTTCACACACGGAGGGCCCGGGTTCGATTCCCGGCGGGTGGAAACATTTCGACACGTTTCCTTACACCTGTTGTCCTGTTCACCTAGCAGCAAATAGGTACCTGGGTGTTAGTCGACTGGTGTGGGTCGCATCCTGGGGGACAAGATTAAGGACCCCAATGGAAATAAGTTAGACAGTCCTCGATGACGCACTGACTTTCTTGGGTTATCCTGGGTGGCTAACCCTCCGGGGTTAAAAATCCGAACGAAATCTTATCTTACCGAACTTGCACACGAAAATCACTCACTATGAAAGCAAAAGACTTGGCAGACGATGCAACATCCCCCCAATGAAAAGCAGGGGTGTCACTAGCACGTTAAGAAACCATACAGTAAGTGTCAGGGGCCCGAGACTGTTCAACTGCCTCCCAGCATACATAAGGGGGATTACCAACAGACCCCTGGCAGTCTTCAAGCTGGCACTGGACAAGCACCTAAAGTCGGTTCCTGACCAGCTGGGCTGTGGCTCGTACGTTGGTTTGTGTGCAGCCAGCAGTAACAGCTTGGTTAATCAGGCTCTGATCCACCAGGAGGCCTGGTCACAGACCGGGCCGCAGGGGCGTTGAAGCCCGGAACTCTCTCCAGGTAAACTCCAGGTAATATGGTCAGATGGGTGCTAGTGTGGGGATAGGTAGAGGCAGGTGGGTGAGGATATGCAGGTGAGGGTGAGTGGGAGAGTGAGTGCAAGTGTGGGAGAGTATGGGTGAAGGGCAACTGGGGAAGATGGATGAAGATGGGGCCTGAAGTTGGGTGAAGGTGTTGGTCCACAATTATCTCACTCTCTGATATATGGGCAGGAGGTTGAGAGCATGTGAGGTGATAGGATGGACGAAGGCGGCTAGAACACATCCAAATTCGAAATTGCTAGTATGAGTGGAAGCTGCTGGTTGGAATGATGTGGGTAGAAGTAGTTGGTTGGAATGGTGGGGTGGAAGCTGCTGGGTGGAACAGTGGGGGGTGGAAGTTGCTGGTTGGAATGGTGAGGGCAAAGGCATGTGTCCACAGGGAAATTTTAGAGGCAATGAAAAATGGGTGTTGACACTGGGCCTGGTGGATGAAGGTTAGAGTGCTTGGTAGTGAGACTATGCAGCAAGGCTCAGCTCTATTCATACATTTCTACTACCATGTCTCATGTCACATTTGTTTATGTCAAGTACCATACCTCAGCCACACCCCTGCTCATACCAACTGTTCATTCACCCCTCCCCCCATATGACCCACACCCTTACTGCATACTCAGCAACCACATCACCCACAACTCCTATCCATACCACCTGCCCCTATACTTGCCCCATGGCTACATGCCTTCATTTATACCATGCCTCGAACCCATGCCTGCTTCCCCCACCCATACCACACACCCTTAAAATTTCCCCAAGGTTATATGCCTTCACCATTCCAACCAGTAACTTTCCCCCAAACCACTCCAACCAGTCACTTCCACCCACATTATTCCAACCAGTAACTTCCACCCACATCATTCAAACCAGCAACTTTCACCCACACCATTCCAACCAGCACCTTCCATCCACACCATTCCAACGAGCACCTTCCACCCACACCATTCCAACCAGCACCTTCCACCCACACCATTCCAACCAGCACCTTCCACCCACACCATTCTGACCAGCACCTTCCACCCACACCATTCCAACTAGCACCTTCCACCCACACCATTCCAACCAGCACCTTCCACCCACACCATTCCAACCAGCACCTTCCACCCACACCATTCTAACCAGCACCTTCCACCCATACCATTCCAACCAGCAAGTTCCACCCACACCATTCCAACCAGCAAGTTCCACCCACACCATTCCAACTAGCAACTTCTACCCATTAAAATGGTATAAAATACCAACAGGTTGTTAGGTAAGACACATATGCAACAGTTAGGTATCTTTATTTCGAAACGTTTTGCCTACACAGTAGGCTTCTTCAGTCGAGTACAGAAAAGTTGATAAAAGCAGAAGAGACTTGAAGACGATGTAATCAGTCCATCACCCTTAAAGTTTTGAGGTGGTCAGTCCCTCAGTCTGGAGAAGAGCATTGTTCCATAGTCTGAAATAATATGGAGTTGAAGTGACAGGATTGAGCCTTATATAGCGCCAGGAGGCGAGACGTAGGTCACTAGTAGAACGCAGATGTTGGGAGGTCAGGTCCCTCTCAAATCCAGCCGTTCTCACTAGTAGAGGTTGTCGAAGTTGATTTCAGGTCTGTACCAAGATACCCTTGTGTTGCAGTGTCTGACAGATTGAACATTAAAATGGTATAAAATACCGACAGGTTGTTAGGTAAGACACATATGCAACAGTTAGGTATCTTTATTTCGAAACGTTTCGCCTACACAGTAGGCTTCTTCAGTCGAGTACAGTCGACAACCTCTACTAGTGAGAACGGCTGGATTTGAGAGGGACCTGACCTCCCAACATCTGCGTTCTACTAGTGACCTATGTCTCACCTCCTGGCGCTATGTAAGGCTCAATCCTGTCACTTCAACTCCATATTATTTCAGACTATGGAACAATGCTCTTCTCCAGACTGAGGAACTGTCCACCTCAAAACTTTAAGGGTGATGGACTGATTACATCGTCTTCAAGTCTCTTCTGCTTTTATCAACTTTTCTGAACTCGACTGAAGAAGCCTACTGCATAGGCGAAACGTTTCGAAATAAAGATACCTAACTGTTGCATATGTGTCTTACCTAACAACTTCTACCCACACCATTCCAACCAGCAACTTCTACCCACACCATTACCTCATTCTCCTCCTGTTCTTCACTATACATGCTGCTCAAAGAACGTTTATCCCGTATAAAGAAATTAGATCAAATAGAAATGACCCAAAATGGATGAATAATAGGCTCAAATATCTACTAGGGCAAAAGAAAAGAATTTATAGGTGTATCAAAAGAGGTGAGGGTCATCTTTTGAAACATTTTATGGACATTAAGAGGGACATTAAAAAGGGGATAAGAAAAGCTAAAAGGGACTATGAAATTAAAGTTGCTAAGGATTCTAAAACTAACCCAAAAAGTTTTTTCCAGGTCTATAGAACAAAAGTTAGAGATAAGATAGGTCCCCTTAAAAATAACTATGGGCATCTTACTGACAAAGAGAATGAAATGTGCTCGATTTTAAATAATTATTTTCTCTCGGTTTTTACACAGGAAGACACTAATAATATTCCAGTAATTAATTTTTGTAGTGGGCCAGAAGAAGATAAATTATGTAACATCACAGTCACTAGTGAAATGGTTGTGAAGCAGATAGACAGACTGAAGCAAAATAAGTCACCGGGTCCTGATGAGGTTTTTTCAAGGGTTCTTAAGGAATGCAAAATGGAACTCTGTGAACCATTAACTAATATTTTTAATTTATCTCTTCAAACAGGTGTAGTGTCTGATATGTGGAAGATGGCTAGTGTAATTCCTATTTTTAAAACAGGGACAAGTCGTTACCGTCAAATTACCGGGCAATAAGCCTGACCTCAATTGTATGCAAATTACTAGCGTCAATTATAGCTGAGATTATAAGAAGCCATCTCGATAAGCATAGCTTGATTAATGATACTTAGCATGGATTCACAAGAGGCCGGTCTTGTCTAACTAATTTATTAACTTTCTTCAGTAAAGCTTTTGAAGCTGTTGACCACGATAAAGAATTTGATATTGTTTACTTAGATTTTAGTGGCAGCTCATGGCATTGGGGGAAGGGTGCTCTTTTGGATCGAATCATGGCTCACAGACAGGAAGCAGTGTGTCCATAAATGGGGTTAAATCCGAGTGGGGATCAGTAACAAGTGGCATTCCACAGGGATCAGTCTTGGGCCCATTGTTGTTTATAATATATATCAATGATCTTGATGAAGGAATTACTAGTGATATGAGCAAATTCGCCGATGACACAAAGATAGGTAGGATAATTGATTCAAACGTAGATGTTAGGGAACTTCAGGAGGATTTAGACAAACTCTATTCTTGGTCAGAAAACTGGCAGATGCAGTTCAATGTAGGTAAGTGCAAGGTTCTGAAGCTCGGGAGTGTCCATAACCCTAGCACTTATAAGTTAAATAATGTAGAACTTAGTCATACAGATTGCGAAAAGGACTTGGGGGTTATGGTAAGCAGCAACCTTAAACCAAGACAGCACTGCCTAAGAG